AGGGTCTCCTAGTTTTTGGTTCCTGAGTTTCTTGTCGATCGGTTCTGGATTTTTTTCTCTGGCCAGAAGTTCAATGGCAAATCCTCCCTCCTGTTGGGATCTGGAGGTCTGTCCACTTTCTCCACCAGAGGGCGTACGAGATCTCCTGGAGCCTGAGCCGATTGCACCACCTGTCTCTCATCTGCTCATCAGAGATCCGTATTTAAGGAGGCGGAGGACTTCTCTCCAGTGCCAGAGTGTTTGCCAGTAACGGTTAGCAAGCCTGAGCCAACCAGCCTGTCTGAAACTCTGACTCCTTGAGAACCTGAACCTGATCTGTTTTCTCCTCTCTGCTTCCTAGATTGAATCTGCCAGTAACCTGAAACCCTGAAGAGTTTCTCTGCCGGAGATCTGCCTGTCCGTTCTCAGAAGAACTCTGGAGAACAGTTTCTGTCTAAGACCTGCCTGCCCGCTCTCAGAAGATACTGGAAGGAAACTCTAATCAGTGATCTGCCTGCACCCAATAGCTCTGCCTCAGCCAAGCCCTCAGCCTGCCGACAGCCTCTGGACCCTCAAGGTTCCCCCCCTCAGCCGCTCAGCTCTACTCCAGAACAGGTACAGCCCTGCACGCTCTCATCCTGCAAATTACCTGGACCTCCACTAACCCCTCTGTCTTCCTCTGCAGTGAACCCACTCGTGACCAGTCCAGTCCCTTCCTGGATCTGATAAATCTGTGTACCTTTTCAGAACCCACTCGTGACCAGACGAGTTCCCCTCTTGAACCTGATCATAAAACTTGTACATTCATCTTTAATAAACCTTTGAACTTTTCTCCTGCCTCTGCAGTGTTCTGCATGTGGGTTAGACACGTTAAACGAAACATGACACCTCCTCAAGTTGGCAATCCAACGACAAATCCGTGGAGGATAATGAATCCGAAAGATGAAATAACTCTTTTTTTAACTTTTACCCGATGTATTCCAGCATCCAGCTACCATGCACGTGGGCATTGTCAGTTTCACTATAGCTCTGGTGAATTTCAATGGTGAAGTCCTCTGGAAATCTTCAATAATTGTT